GATAAAGTTTGAATTATTTGTAGCTGGAGGTTTAACCTTGGGGATTTAAATGAGTAAGAAATGGAGGTGGAATATCTTTTGGTTGGTGTTATAATGATGCTCATTTATCCTGACTAGTCACTACAAGTATAATTCAAATTTTATTGTATCAAGAAAATCTAATATTTAATCTGTATAAATATATATTTATATATATATATATATATGTTAAAATTTTATTTATAAATAATTATGTTTATTCGTTCGAATTATTGTATTTATTGGATATTGTTCTTACTCCTTTCTTTTCTTTGTTTTTTTTAATTAAATATATTATAAATAGATGGATCAACTTGAGATTCCAGATCATTTTGCTGTTATTATTACTGCTGTCCTACGTGGAAGGAAATTGGAATACGGAGGCTATTTGATGGATCTGTTATAACTTTACTTGTCAATCATATTATTTTAATTGTAATTTTCTTTCCGTTATGAATATATATATTGTATTAAAAGAGTAAGGAAAATGAATAATGTGTAAAATAATACGTTATTCTAAATATTTTAGAACGATATGTTTTGTATTAAATTCACAAGATATTCTTTTCTTTACTTTTATTTTATTAAATAAATATATAGATATTGTTAATGATATAATTGCGAAAATATTATAATATTGTATAATTTGGGTATTAGAATTAGGCGTTACATAAATAATATTTCATATAAAATTTTAAATTCCATAAGAAATGCATTTAATATATTAAATGCATATCAAATCTATCCCACATCTATATATCTATATGATATTTATATATTATTAAAAGATAAAATAGTCACTTAAAAAAAATCAAACTCACTTTTTTTATTATATATATAATAAAGATCATTATATATTTATATATATATATATATATATATATATAAATCAATTTTATCATGATAAAAGTTAAATCATCATATCCAAACTAATAATTTAAAATATAAAAAATATGAATTATTTATCTACGTACAATATTTTTTAATGACAAAAATTGAAATAAAAATAATTGAAATTTTAAAAATTTTAAATTTATAAAAAAAATTTCTCTAAACACACCATAAAACTAAATAAATTGATATAATAAAAGCAAAGATGCTTGGTGAGATTATATGGTCTATAGAGGAATTCAAATTACACAGTTAAATTTAGCATTCCTAATAAGTTTCATATCATTACATTACTAAAGATATTAATAGTGCTAATTCTGTTGTCAAGCTTCAATTTGAAGTCATTGTATGTTATACAGTTGTCAATATGGTTATGTTTATAACTATTCATTGTGAAATGGGAGAACCCAGATTACTGGATACCTAAATTTCTTAATTATAATGAAAGTTTCCAAGATAAGTCCTGTACTATCCGTACCGCTATACCGAGCTCGAGCTCGGCAACACAGCGCGGAGTGACCTCGGACACGCGCTAGGCGACATCGGCTCGCTATCCAATTAGGTCATAAACTGATCTCGGGCCCAAGGCCCAACGAAACCTTAATTCACACCAAGGTACGTGCATTACTTATACGAGACTCATACTCATACAAACCCTAACTTTGGCATCGGAGTCTCTTTTGCAGGTACCACCCCCATCTTGGAGCAGCAAGCGTACCAGCGAAGGAGACTCACCGATCTTACCCAGCGGATCATCCCTACCTCGGATTCCTGGTAAGAACATTTGGCACCCACCGTGGGGCCGATCAAGACAGCTCTTATTGGCCATGCTTATGGTTTTCACCAGAAGCCATAGCAGACGCGCAACAAACGACCTAGATCACGCAACCACCATGGATAACGAAGCAGCATTGAGAAGACTGATCGAGCAGGTCGAACAGATGCGGCAACAACACGCCGCTGATCTACAAAGTATGCGTGCCAAGCACGAAACTGACCTAGCAGCGATGCGTACCGCTAATGAAGCTGACCTAGCGGCACTACGTGCCGAGAACGAGCGTATTCGCGCTCAACTCCCTCGGCGTCCCTTGGATCAACCCCTTCCACAGAGTAACCTGCATGAGGACGAAGGGCACTCGGTTTCTCAACCGCCAACAGCAGGTAGGGCATCGACTCCCAGGCCTGCCACACATCGGTCTCACGTACCGACGAACAAGTTGGTGCATGACGTCAGCAACGCTCCCGCCCACGGCACGGGGAATCAGACGACGTTCCGCCGTCATCCTTTTGTGGATGGCATCATGTAGACACCTCTCCCTTTTGGGTGGAAGCCTCTCCACCTCGACAGA